GGAGAACTTTTACGGAGACTTTGCCACGGTCTCCAACCCTCCTTCTTTTTCAACCGGGCTTGGAAGCGGCAAAGCGGAGTTCTTATAAACAGTAACTTATAAGGCGGTCTATTCATTAATACACGACGCAAAAGATGTTGTCAATTGGACGATTAACTATTAACAACGTTTCGCCTCATGTCTGATGAGCGTTCTTCGAGGCAGGTGTTTAGTAAAGTTTGAGGTTTTAATTGTTATCCGCAGAGGTTGGCAAGTTTGGAGACAGAAGACAAGCGTTTGACCCCTGCTACTGGTTAACTATGCCAGAAAAATTACGTACGAGTCACAGAGATCACTATCACCTAGAAAACAAAGCCTTCCGTCAAGATGGTAACATACGAGCGTCTGCGATAGGTGACAACCTAACACTCGGAAAGAAAACAATGCCTCGCCACCAGCAAAGTCAAGTAACAATGCAAAGGGACCTCCGAGATAGTGCAGCACGCGGCACAGCAAGGACACGCTCCCGATGGTCTGAGTGTAATGGCAATATGAAGTAAAAACTGCGCGGAGTGGATGTGCGATGTCGCCCCAGTCGTCCAGAAATTATTTAAATAGCAGGAACGACAATAATATTAGTCTGGCTGTGAACCAATCAATCGCTTATATAGCAGGAAATATCTCTGAAACTTTACCAGCCTACTACTTTTAAAAACGCTCGTGAAACACTAGCCGAAACGTCCGTATTGGTCAACCATCCGATTCACCACAATTTTGCGTTGTATATTAATACATCACTTTTATGTTGTTTTTCAGTATGACCGTTAACGAGAAACACTGTAACGAGGATGAGAAACGTCAAAAAAAACTGTCACAAAGTGCAGGCGCGGCAAACAGCAACCGAACAAAATAAGCGTAGAACAACAGAAAACAGAGTGGGAAAATAAAATAAAATAAAACCAAGATAATACCCAAATAAAGAAAACAGATACTTATGACTGTAAACTACTTACGGCGAGGAATGTGCATTCGGACCGAGGAAAAGCCGCGATAAATACCTCAAAACGGTAGTTGAAAACGTGAGCTTATTGATTGCTTTGTTTTCCGCTATAACGCTATATGAGATAGAATGGCTGCGGTGGCTGAAACTGCGCTGTAATTTGCTGAAAACTAAATTGACCTCCGCCTATTGCCCTTACGCGAGACAAGCACAACTATTTAACTTCTTACTTCTTTGCTGGTTCCCGTACTGTAATTCTATTTTGATTTGCAGATACTTTGCCTAAATGATGTGCATAGCCGAAATGTTTGATAAGAGTTGTTTACGTGGAACGAAGTATATTAGTGTTGATAGTTGCAACAGTTACTGATAAGCATATCTGCTGTTCCGGGATTCGGTAAATTGTATTCACAGAACAGTCTGTAGCGATTATTCCACTTTCGCAGTGGTAGTCACTTTGTGTTGATTAGCTAGAGTCGAACATTAAATCCGTGGTCTCTTCTGGCATGGTTTTAAGCGAAACACAGGCAGCCGAATTGGTATCAGTCTGCATCAGTGCAAAACGGTTTTCATACTCGCCGTACAGCAAATTTCGTGTCGGAGCTGCAGTTATGTGCGATGATGACACTATTTACACAGGTAAACTTTTGTAAACATTGCAACTGCTATAACGGTTGTGGGCAGTTGCGCAAGTGGTAAACAGGTTTCTTTATGCGTTTATGCCGCGTTGGAACGCTGCGCGCGATGTGAATCTTTCTTATTAACTGCTAACTACCTTGAGCAAAGAATTCACCGAACTGTGCTTCGCTGCAACCAACCCGAGAATGGATAGCATATCGTTGTCCAGCAAATAATTGAAGCAGCGTATTGCATTGATGTGGTCGTATCAAAGCGTTAGAGATATACGGCCAAGCTTTCTTATGTGTACGCTTTACGGCTGCAATTCGCCTTGATCTACATGTTCGCTGATTAAATCTCAGCACAGTATGCTAGGCACCTTTTGTTATACAGTACCGAAGACTGAAACGGCGTGAAGCTATCTCTTGAGACAACAATCATCAAGTGGCATCCAGCAACGTCTCTGTGTCAGGGATGGGCGTGGTAAGCAATATTCTCGCCATGTTTAGCTACCCAGTTTATAACAAGAGTGCCTGTTTGCCTTATTAGTTTTTCAGTATGTAATGTGCTATTACAGGAGAGGAATGTGAACAGACTTTTGAAACAGCCGTGTTCGTTATATGCGAGGTCGTTTAAATTCGTGGATGCCACGTATATCAGAAATGGCGTTGCGCAGCGCCGTGTGAAAAATGGAGTCAGCTTTTGGTTCACTCCAAAGTATTTCATCCTTTTGAGCAGCGATAGCGCTTTTGTGAGCTCTAGGGCTACACTAGTAATCTAGGCATCCAAGTACTCGAGTACTCGAATAGGTACTCGAGTCTCGCTGCCCAATGAGTTGAGTCATGAAGTTGAGATTTTTCGGTGTTCTGGAAAGACTCTTTTAGTTAATGACTTATGATATCTGTGGCTTAAGTTCTGTGTCCTAAAGTTTGCTCGGTGGTGACAAAATATGTGGTTTTTTAATTCTGCATTCTGCTTGATTGTCATTAGTTTGTGCTGAATTTATGGACCTAGGAAAGTTCACTGACGGGTGGTTCACCGACCGGAAAATTTGCCGCATGGAAAATTCACCGACCCGCAATTCATCGAAAGGAAAATTCACCGATTCTACAACTGATCGCCAGCATGAGACGTGGAAAACTTTATTAAGCACATTAATTTATTTCATATCATAAAGTATTGTCAATATTTCTAAAAAAATTCAGTTGTGCTGATTTTGAATTAATTTGCCTGAAAATGATAATGTTGTAGGTACCTGTAAATGTCGAATAAAACACGTATTTCATTGAAATCACTTAATTAGAAAAGAAACGCCTGGAACATTATTTACACGCATACAAATATATTGTTACCGCAGTGCTTAGTTAGTAATTTATATTATGTGCCACACCTCTCAAAAACTTCTAAACATTTTTTCTGTCATAATTCGCGACTACTCTGAAAAGTCTTTCGGCGCAGTCCCTATATTTCTTACGCGCAGGGCTACCTTGTTGGCCACTCACTTATTGTTTTATTTGCAATGTTCTGATGCGCTGCTCACGGTGAATCGCTTTAATAAATTTCCAGACATTAGGGCGTTGTGCAGATATTTGCATTTCCAATCCAGACATCAATTGAATATTTTGTCTTCGGTAGACGGTATATTACTCCTATTACTCCTTCATGACAGTTTCACATTTCTATGGATAAGCGGGGCATTCAGACTCGCTGCGTCGTTGAGGGCGCCCACTCCATCAATCATCAAAGTAATCAATCATGCTTTGTGCTTTCTGAAGCATGTTATTCCCTTCTAAGAACCTCAAATGCTTCTACTACATGTTCTGTTGAGACAAAGGCCAACGCGGAAAACAATCGCATTTTCTTTGCAATTCGATGTCAGTTTCGTGCCTTCTTTGAAGATCCTTCGGAATATACACTGTGAGAAATGGAGGATATCTAGCCCCTGGATATTTTTCACGAATAGCACTGACTATGGCAGGTTCGAAATTGGTTATAATTGTTTCTGGGGAGGCATCAGGTTGGAGCTGTTTTACTTGTAATAAGTAACATATGTGGCCTCTATCTTCTAGAAGAACATGCATACGCGAAATTGACTGTTCACCTGAATACCACGGAGTGTGTAGAGTTGGATGAACAAATGAGGCACTGTTTTAAAAGTTCCATCTCCAAATCAGTGAGGCCAATAATCGGAGATTTCTTGCGGTGTAAAATATAACTGTTCCTTCTTCCGTCGGTCCTGAATCATACAGAAATAACGGTTCACCTTCTTTAGATATCTTGTACTCCTCGAGAAATACAGTTTCCTCTCGGGTCATAGGCAGAGCTGGAGCTTTTTGTTTCTTTATTCTGATGTTTCAGATCCCTCTTTTAATATTGTCGTTCTTCGCAATATGTCCGGCAGCATCTTGGCTAAGTCTCACAGACGCATTAGATATAATATATTGGAGTGCTTCTTGGCTATTTATTACATGATCACGTGCAATATCCTTTATCTTCAAAGCTTCTATGTGAGCTGCATCCCCAATATGGTTGTGAACTCCCTTCACGGTCTCAATGGCATCTCCAACTGTTATCACATGAACCCGGAAATTGTGCTTCTGATACATCTCACACTTCCAATATGACCTGTCAGCTTGTTTTTCTTTCAAAAATAAGTGACCATCCACCGTCCAAAAGTTTCTGTTTTCTTTTTCGCTCGTGACGAACTGAAAAGCCATGATGGTTAATGAGAATTCGTAACTGAAGCATCACACTCGAAGAACTTTTTGAAACTGACCTCTTTGAATTTTCTGAGGCTTTATATAGGTGTAAAGCATGGTAATTGCTGTGTTCATTAACAATCTTTCAAATATGCTATTTCTAAATAAATGCATTAGATAAAATTCGTTTTGAGTAGATAATATTGTGGTAATTATTCTGCTCATTAACACAATCTTTGAAATATGCTATTTCTGAATAATACTGTTTTAATTTTTATTAGATACCTATATTTTTATATCGTAATAATAAATTTTTATAAATCTCATCGGGATCAGTTGTATTTGTTGAATTTTCCATGCAACAGATTTACCGGTCATTGAATTCTCTAGTCGGTGAATTGTTGTCGGTGAACCTTCCGGATACCGAATTTATCATTG